ACAAATTCTGATCATCTGAGATTGGAATCAAGATGAGTTCTTTTCACATGAGCTGTGGAATAAATACCATGTTCCCTATCAAACCTGAACCGGAAACGTAAAAGATAGAAGATATTGCTGTTTGTGGCAACAATAAAGCAGCTATAGGCCCTGCCTAGAAGAATGGGCATGGTGGGGTCTCAATAAAACTTTATTAACAAAAGAAGTGTCAAACTGGATGTGGTCCATCTGTTATAATTTGCTGACCCCTGTTAAGCTGATGATAACAAAGGCTGCTGGGAAGTTTTAAGGACTGGACTGGAGGGTCGCTAGTTTGTAGGATACTCCATATCCGATTGAAGGAGGTTACTCTGAGTCTTTTTTTCTGGACTACTCTGTCTGCCTCTTATTGCTATTCTCCCACAGTTCTAACTAGTGGAATATTGTTCATCTGTATAGATGAGGGAAACTGATTTCTAATTCCTAAGCTCCAGTCTAGCACGAGCCCACTCTCTCCTTCCACCAAATACAGTTATGCCCATAAGAGACCAGAGTGAAATAAAATGTAGATGGTGACTTTCTCCATTCTGCAAAAAATTTGAAAATGGTCATGAGTTTTCCCATTTCTGCCTTCTGCCTGGCACTTAGTTCTTCTGGCTTCACCACGTTCTTTGTTTAAATATTAGACAGGAAGAGTACACTTTAGCACCTTGACAATCCATCATTTGTGGCTATTGTAAACCTCTGTAGATCTTTTATTACCATTTCACATTATGTGGTATGAATGCGCTTCTTTATCCCAAGTTCTTCCTGTCTGCCCTGTTCTTGGTCCTAGTTCAAGTGTTAAATCATGGGTGCCAATAATAACAAGCATCCTTGCTTGTTCCTTCCTGCTAGAGAAGGTAGGGCGCTGCACTACGCAGGTTTTCTGCTCCAGCTGAGAGGCAGGATGGGCACGTACCAGGCTTACGTGATTGGAAATAAACAGGGAAATCGTTCTGAGGGGCAATAAGAAACTTTTCTATTCAATCGTACAAGTTGTTCTGAAAGTTTGGGACCATGTGTCCTGCGAAGTCAGAAAGATTTATTATCTGGCTGTTTCACAGAAAACGTCTGCTGGCACCCCCAAATGTGGCTTTGTCACCAGGGAAGATGGATGCTGCTATGCTGATACATGTCGAATGGGACTTGCAGCTGGAGGCAGCGTGTGATACAGTGTAGGAGAGACATACCTCGGCCATTTGTACACGGTTAGAAAGAGGCAGACGGTGAAGCTAGCAACAAAGATGACATGCTCACTGGGACACTCAAGGACTCCCAGGTAAATGAGACGCTGTCAGCCAGACGCCGCGGGGCTTCCCCAATGATGGTGACAAAGAAGGACAGAATGAGTGCTAACGCCGCGATGGCATCGCAGGACATTGTTGTCACTGTAAAGACGACTATCTCATAAGCTGAATTATGAACACCAGACATGCTGAGAAGACGCTGTTCTAAACTAGTGTCTCAGCCCTTGACTCCAATCGTCCAGACATTTAACCAGCCCCAAATGATGCTCTGAACCCAGAAAGTTCGGTATATGTTCATGAAACCAAAGAAGCTAAATGAAACCTAACAATGAAAAGGGTCTTTTTTTTTTTTCAAAGAGCTGGGACCTCCCCAAAGGGAAGCGTATCCAGAGTCATGACTGCGCCCTGCTTTGGACCACGAATGCCACCTCTCTCTTGGACCCTACCTGTCATCAAATATCTGAGAACCCAGAAGAACAGGATCAGAATATCAGAAGGAACTAGAGAGACAGCACATTTTTTAGGAGAAATTAAGACAAAAGGAAGCCATTAGGACATTTTTGTGGACTAGCCAAGAATGTACATGGGGAGAAGGAGTGAGAGAATGTGGGAAGATATTCAGGTCTGTCCTCTGTCCCCAGAACAGCAACCACAACTACAGGAGATGTGGGGGGGAACTGAGAGAGGACAAGAAGAAGAGGGAAAGGGAGGTACAGTAGCAAAGGGACACGGGAGGGGCTCCTGGGAGCCGGCACACAGACTGATGGCTGCCGGAAGAGCAATAGGAACACGCCGCCCTTTCTCTTTCCCGCCCTTCCTCCCCGCCCATTCCCTCATTAAGCATTGAGGTTAGCAAGATAAGCCACTGGGAGAGAAACAAACTATGAAGTTACTGAACTTCCTCGTCTTTCCGATGGAACATTCCCTAGCATGGAAGTGGGTTTGGAGACAGGGCGTGACAGCCAATTGCATCATTGAACTTCTCAAAACAAAGCAAATCTGCACAGGCACAGACATGCAGGTATGTTCCAAACAGAAAAAGAAGAGAGAGAGAGACAAGAGGCAGAGACAGAAGGGGGCAAAAAGAAAGGCAGGGAAGGAGGAAGAGAAAAGACGGTCAAATGCATTGGTCATGAACTCTCTGGACTATTTTCTCTGCCTTCCAGTATGTTGGAGGTCGAAGGAAAAGTGTAATAAAGACCAGCTCCTGGTCTCTATCTAAAGAAGCCAAGTAATGCCATACAGAGAAGGGAAGCTGGCTCACAGGTCACTGATACGTGCCGAACTGTGATGGAGCACGTCCCCTCCCGAGGAGGCCCACCTGTCTCCTGACTCCTAGAGGCGGCTGGAGCCTCGTGTTCAGAGCGAGTCAGTCTGTCTGACGGGGGTTATTTTAATTCCTGGTTCACACTCCCTTCCCCACTCCCATACTCAGGGCTACAGGAACAACGGGGCTGGTGCCAGGTGTCATCAGTCATCCAAAGACAGAACTGCTGTCGCAGCAATCCTGTCACCGCCAGTTATGACAGTTTGACACCTGAAAGAGAGGGAACCCTCTCTAGGTACTATTTTTAATTTTGATGAAATCCTGGGGAGCTTGAAGTCTAAACATCCTCCTCGGTTCCTATTTGAGGTCACTTCCACTGCCCCGTCTCCTGTCCTTATTTGTATGTCCCTGTCATCTTCCTTCCTGTCACCAAGGTCACATTTATAGACACTTTACTGAAATGTACTTGCATGGTTTCTAGAGCCCCACCATGGAAATCTCTCAGACCAGTCGTAGTATGAGTAGAAAGTTCCTGTTTTCCCAGCTTGTAGTTACAGCCAATAATTTTCTTCTCCTTCCCCCTAAATCTTCATTACACTTTACAGCAGCGCTGCAGAAGTACAATTATAAAGGCTTGTGAAGCTCAGACATTTCAGGGATGAGGAAAGGTTATTTGCATAATGTAAGCAAGCCCAGGACAGAGGCCTGGGTACTCCCTGTAGAAGAAAGTTCTTCTTTTTTTTTTTTTTTTTTTTAAGATTTTATCTATTTATTTTCAGAGAGAGGGGAAAGGAGGGAGAAAAAGGGAGAGAAGCATCCACTGGTTGCCTCTGGAACACCCCCAACTGGGGACCTGGCCCAGGCATGTGCCATGACTGGGAATCGAACCAGTGACATTTTGGTTCCGCAGGCTGGCACTCAAGCCACTGAGCCACACCATCCAGGGCAGAAGGTTCTTCATGGTATTAAATAATAGTTCATTTATGAGATCACAGAGTAAGCCATTAGGAATATTAGGGTGCTCTGGGGAGAAAAAGACAAAAAGCTTTGTCCTGGTTTCGGTCATCAGGCTACAATTTCTTTGCAAACTATCTTTTTACCAGGGGTTCCTAGAGACCGGAAACTCCTAGCACCAGAGAAGATAAAATGAGACCATTCGGTCTACCTGTCCTTCTGATGACGACTCGAAACCCTGGTCAGAATACAAAGAGCAGCTACCTCTGCACAACAGGCCACAGCGGGGCGGACTGGTGAGCCAAGTCAAAGCTTGAGGCCCCATCAAAAAGGCGGGGAAAGTGGGGAGGCCTGAGGACAGCAGGACATCGTGAACGGACTGTTGAAAGGAAAGAGCTTTCAACTCCCTGTTGCTTATACAACAAAACTGTCCTTCGGGAACGACTGCAAAATAAAGTCATCCCCGGATGAGGGCGAAGAAAGAGATCCCAGTCCTTGGTATTTACCCAAACCTGTGTTTGCTCAGAAACGTATGCAGGAAGGCTTAGAGTGCTGATACTGGTAACTGCCCCAAACGGGGAACAAACCAAATGTTCCTCAGCTGAGAAACAGACAGACCGAGGATGGCGTGTCCACACAAGGGAACACCGCCAGCAATGCAAGGACAGAGCTCACTGATACACACAACACCCGGGCTCAATCTCAGACGCAGTAGGCTAAGTGAAAGAAGCCAGGCTCGAGAGGATAGACTCTGTTGTCGGGGGTTAAAGGTTGGGGAAGGGCTTGACTACCAAAAAGAGCTACAAGGTGATTTTTTAATAACTGTTGTGTATATTGAGTGTGATGGTATTGCATGCTTCTGTGCATTTGTTAGGACTCATACAACTGTAACCCAAAGAGTGAATAACTTTATATATTAAAAACAAGTTTAAAAAATAGAGAACTTGAAGTCTTGATACACTTCGCTAAGGAAACTGTTTGACAATTCAGTTATCTAAGTTCATGTACTTACATATTCATCAGCAGAAAATTGTATCCCCAATACATTATGGCAAAAGGATAGCCAAGCTTTCACTGAAACCTTTGTTATGTTATTTTAAAATAAAATCTATTGGGTTGTCACCCATTTTGGGGACCGTCCAAATTCTTCAGAATAGAATAGTCCAACCTGGGTCACCAATATATGAGTTTTGACATAAATTTATACATTCTTCCCAGTTACATAAACCTTCCCAATTCTATATCACAAATGTGATTTTATGGTCAGAATATTTATTTCTGGCCTGGTGTTTAAAATAAATAGACTTACCACAACTGTCACAAAACACACACACGCCCTCATGTATTATTAACTGATTTTCAGGTAGAAAGAGGAATCATGCAATGAAACCAGGGGCTTGGCCCGGCTTCTACCAGCACCAACCCAACAGGGTTTGTGGGCTGCTATATCGATCCCCACTCCGCGGGGAGTGTGAGCACATTTGCACGTGAGGGATGAAATGTTGACATACCCTGTCAAAGAGCGCAAAGAGCTGTCTCAGCACATCAGACACAGGCAACTTCAGGTACTCGGCAAATTCTTCAATTCCGATTCTCCCTCCTTTTGAGGAGCTCGCGATAGCTGCATATTCATCCAAATGCTTGCGGACACTGTCCCAATTTAATCTAAGCAGAGAATTAGAAATACGCCGTCTTAACCCTTTCTGGCCCACGTGACTTTTTGATGAACATCGTATTATTCACTTGTCTAAGGGTATCATTTCAAGTGTTGAATTTGAAAAGGAGAATAAACGGTGTATTTTAAAGTACCAACCGTACAGGTATCCAGGCTTTAAAATTTTTTAAGGATATTAGTATAACTATAATTTTCCTAAGTATCTGAGGGAAAGAAAAGTAACTGAGAAGAGCAATTCAGTAGAATATAGTAAATGACTTGTAAGAAGAATATAAGAAATCACATTTAAATCTGAACATTACTTAGTAAGCAATAGTACTTATTGGGTTGTTAAAATTACATTTTTTTGGTTGTCAAGGAGCTTTCAGGCTGATAAATTCATATTTCACAAAATGCCGGGATAGGGAGAGATATTGAGCCATACACACTTCTTCCAGTATTGGTTTCGAGAAGTCAGGGTAATAAATGCTGGAAAATACAGCTTACATCCCATTCTTTCTTTTTCAATTAATTTTATTGGGGTAGCACTGGTTAACAGGATTATATAACTTTCAAGTGCAGATTCTATAATATATCACACATACATCACATTGGGTGCTCACCACCCGAAGGTTAGACACTTTCTGTCACCGTATATTTTACCCATCACGTCCTTCCTTTGTCTTACAACAAAGACATAACACATGCTTCTCCTGTATCCAATCTCAGTGCCTAGCTAAACTTTTCAAACTGTGAGCATATCGACGCATTTTCTTCTCTTAAAAATATAGATAGTATTTGCTCTATCGGTTATCAAAATAGGATTTCTGAATACTGGACTTTCATATAGTAACTGGTGCTGCGGGTCCCTTCCAGGGCGGATGCCAAGGTCTATGAAATCACTGGGTCCGGCAAATGCCCAGTAGGGATGAAAACAGAAGAAAATGTAGTAACAGAGGACTCGGGGGTTGCACCTTTTACACCAGACAGTTCAAAAGGAATGTTCCAAATGGTACAAACTAGATCGTAGAAACACAAAGGGGTGTTTTTGTCCTTTTATAAAAAAAATCACGTGCCCAGAAGTTAAAAAGGTAGACCTGGAGTAAGTACTTTAGATTTAGCGATGGTCAGGATTGCTGCTCTCCAAGTCAATCCCTACTTCAAAAGAGAAGTCCCGACCACTGCAGCCCAGTGTTGTTGAACGATGCTGAACTTTTGGTACCAGGGTATTCGGATGAACTAGCTGCTCAGCCATTTCGGGGTTACAAAGGTGGAGCTCTGCTCACCCCCACTTGCTGTCGCCTGCTCCGCTGTGACCAGCTCACACATTTTTTAACTCACTGCTCTTGACAAAACAAACCAAGGTGAACTGTAGGGGAGACAGATTCACCACCCCGGCTTCCCTGAGAAACCCCACAGCTGGGCCTCAATGAAACCAGAGAAAATAAACATACAGGGATGTAGCTCTCTTTTGGACCCCTTTCTGAAAGTCTAGGAATTTTAAAATGGACTTACTTCAACTTCCGGCTAATTTTGGTAAATTCCACCAGCCCGGCTTCCATAGGCAGCGTGAGCTGGCCTGCCGAGATCATCAGTCTGCAGTCTTCGTATGTGTGTTCTGTCATCGGAATTCCCAGAGCCCTGAAGGCATTCAAAGGCAAAGCGACGTTCAATTCTTTTAAAAAGCTAATGATTTTTCAGGAGGCCTGAACAGGCCAACAAACAGCAGTAAATGGGAGAGGAGTTCCGGCTTTTTAGGGGGAAACACCGGAACCCTTAAAATGATATTAAATGTCATTTACTAATAATGTTCCAACTCTCTACTGATGATAATTACATGGAGAACACTTACTGAGCCATCAGATTCCGGACTCTACCAGCAAAAACGACAGGGTCTCTCTTTTCTTCATCACTCGGTGCTTGGACGGGCATAAACTGAAAGATAAATACACGGTTCAGTAACCACTAGTGGGACTCGGACGTCGAAGGCTGAAGCCATTAACTAGTAAGTCACTTATCCTGCTGATCCTGCCCTTCCAGCGCATCAGCAGCCTGACTTAACGGAAGGAACTGAGAGCTGGGACACAGGAGATCTGCCTCTAAGCCCGGGTCTTCCCGTGTGTTAACCTTTAACAGCGTGTCCTTTAACTTTTCTGAATGGTCCCCTGGACTCTACAAGGAGGGCTCCAATCCGCTACCACCCCTGCTGGCATGAGGAAGAAATGAGGCAGCATCTTGGAATCTGGGAAGGCGGAAAGCCGTAGCTACTAAGATCGTCTCAGAGTTGCTTTTTCTACCACAACCACCCCTTCGCATGAGAATGTTAGTGATGATGATTATTTTGTCCTTTATAGTTTATCTTCCCCATCCGGTCCTCGATCAGCCATATTTTATCATTTGGTGGAACTTGATGTTTAGTCATTTCATCTGCTTTTTGTTTTTTTTAAGTTAATATTAGCTTTCTAGCTTTTATGTAACTCCTCATTTGGCTTTACCATCATTTACATTTTACTTCTTTCTCTAGCTGACATCCTGTGATGCCTCGTTGGTACTGTCCTTGTTTTTCTTAATAGTTTTCTGACATTAACAAGGTTTGGGTGCCATTGTTAAGACATGGCATATTTTTTGAGCACCTACTGTATACCAGGCAAGGTCAACAGGACCATATTCATGTTCTAAAATAGAGAGAGATTTTTGTGGGATAGACAGACGTAGCATGTGCTAAGTATCACTACCCTTATCCCCCAGTTACAGATGGGGCAGAAAGACTTCATTAACTGAGTTAAAGACCTCCAGCTCACGTGGCCAGGATTCAGTCCAAGGTCTCTCTGATACTACAACCCTTGGTTTCCCCACTAAATCGTCTTTCCCAGAGCATGCAAGAGAGAGAGAGAGAGGAAATGATTCATTTGGCCAGGAGTGGGCAGGGAAAAGCAGCTGAAGAGGCTTTATGGAGAGCCGATGGTTGACCTTGGCTTCTTAAGGATAAACATGATTTCTCCAACAGCTACTGCTGATGGAATTATACCTATGAACCAGGTCCCATGCTAGGTGCTCTATAAGCATTATTTCATTTCATCGACCCTCCCAACTTAGGAACTGGGGTTCACAAAGATCAAATGACTGGCTCAAGATTCTATGGATCACTTTCACTCAATAAATATTATTTAGGCGCCTGCCATGTGCCAGGCCCTGAAGACATGACAGTGAAGTCCCTGCCCTCCAGGAGCTGTCCTTGTACTGGGATGGGAATTTATGACCATGAGCTAAGCCTGTCCATTAAGGACCTACTGTGTGCTGAGTAACCTATGAGAGGGTCTTCATAAGATGAACTCTCTTAACAATTCTTAGAGCACGTTCTACTGTTTCCACTGGCTACAAGAACATGGCTAGAAGGGGTTAAACAATACACCTACAGCTACACTTCAGTGGCAGGGCCATGATTTGAAAGAACAGCAAGATTTGTATGAATAACACCTCTTTTGGACTCATGTGGGCCAGTTCTCAAACCCTGACAGCTGTGTTAAGAAGCCAATGGGCAAGGGTGACTCAGGTGCAGATCAGGAGTCAGGAGCAGGGGAGTGACATGCCCGGGTCCAAGTTTTTGAGCAGTACCTTTGGTGGCAGGGAGTGGATACGCTGAAGAAGAAGAGGCTCAGAGCAGGGAGAACCTCAGGTGACCCACCTGTAGGAGGTGGTGAGGTCACGAACAAAGGGCGTGAGGATGCAGAGGACAGAGTCAGGGCACGTGCAGTGTCTGAGATAAAATGGGCAGGAACCAGAGCATAATGTGCCATGTGTCGTTTCACTCTCTCTGCATTTATTTGAGTGACAGCCTCCTCTCCAAGGGGACCGCGGCATGCTGCAGAAATGACACTCGGAGTCTTGGCCCAGCCGTGTGGCCCCAGAGGTCACTCGGCCTGTGGGCCTCCGCTCCCTCTCCTGCTGAGTGAAAAGTACGACTGACTGTGTGATCTCCGAGGCCCTTCCAAGGGGAATCTGGTGTCTGGCTTTCTGCTCGGTATCCAGTTATTCTTTGAGATGGAAAATTAAACTGCGCCACCAGAGGTCCCCACAACACTTATCTATCCAGAGCACCAAACTCAGAAAATAAGTATTTCTGCAAATTCCCTCCAGCCTGTCCCAGTATAATCAAAGCCCTTATACTTGCTTAGTATGAAATCCAACGAGAAAAACAGCAGGTTAAAATCAATGCTCATAAAATCTCTAACAAAGTAGTACAATGAAGTTTTAAACGGGCCTATAATTCTTCATTTTTTAAAAAGCCAAATGATCCTTTCTGCATCATACACTCGATTTGCAGCACATACTGAGGCCCTGAAAAATGAATTGCAGCTCCGCTGTTAACCAAAGTAATACAACGAGCTATGGGCTTTGTTCTTTGAGTGAAGGTAGTTTCCATAAAGTAAATTTGAACAACTCTTGTATTGGCATGGCATTTTATTCTTGAGGAAAAAAGAAATCCACCGAGAGTAAAAAAAAAAAAAAAAAAAAATTCTGCACATGACATGCATGGGCCTCAGGCCTCCCGAAAAGTGATTCAAAGGGAAGTCTAAAAAACGGCACCTCTCCTTGGATAAGACCTTGCCATTTTGTTCGAAGCCTCAAGGCTCACAGCATGAACGTATCCTTTATCTGGGAAGGAAGATGCACCAAAAAAGAGAGTTTGACAGCCACTATCTCTGTCCCCTAAGACACATCTACACACCCCTGTGACTTCAGGACCCCGAGTTTTCCTTCCCACCCTCCCGGTCTCTCGTCAGCCCCAGCAGCCACACAGGGGGCCTATCAGATGCCTTGATTTCACAGCCTCTTCACCTGGTCAGACATCCTTCCTGAGTCTCTTTCAGCCACGGAAACGAACATACAGCCCCAATCTGTTCCTCTGGCAAGTTCTTCAGCCAGTTAGTTTCCCCTCATTACCTGTGGGTGTTTGCTTCTCCCCTCACCTGGTCCTGCCTGGTGGTGCCTCTCACTTCTCCCTCTTCACCTGCCCCTCCTGGACGATCTGCCTGCCTATCAACACTGGTCCTAGGCAGGCAGACACTTCCACGTGGCTGTTCTGTCACCCAGAATCTCCTGCTCTGCCACACACCCCTGGTGCCAATCGGAAACCCTTGGTCACTTCTCCTGGTCCCACCATCTTGTTCTCGTACAGGGAGGGGTGCAAGAGAAAAACCTTACTGGCTGAGGCTACTACAAATCCACTTGAACTTCCACCGGGTCCTCACAGCTGCTCGAAAACTAGGCTGTTTCCCCAAGGCGACCATCCTGCCTCAAAATACAAAAGCAGCCTTAGGTTTGTTTTCTTTTTGTTGAAGATCTCCCTTTATCTGTGCAGATGTGGCAAAACACGTCTTCTTAACACGGAGTCCATCTCCATCTCCTCCCTGTCTGTGTGATGGTCGAGGATCAGGTTACTTGGGTGGCATCTCCATGCTGCCGGGCAGCCCTTCACTGTCCCTTTCTGATCTGCTGCCACCACATTTCACTGTTGCGACACTGGCCATGCTTCTCAGGTTGCAGTTCCACTTTCAGTCTTGGTGGCATTTCACCTTCACCTTCAGAGATACGGCGGTGAAGGAGATCAGGCCGTGCCACCCCATAATAGGCCACGTGGGTGTGTTGGTTATTTTGAGCTGAAGTCCCTTGAAAAGCAGCACCTACGGGGAGTGGCTTTCTCTGACCCCATCATCTGCCTGCAGACAGAGCTTCCAGAAGGAGCTCGATGTCGTAAACCGCCTGCCTCGCAGGTTCTGCAAACCGGGAGGCTGACTCTGACTCTCATCAGTGGGGAGGAGGCCAGAGCCCGAGCCCACACCGGACCAGCCTTATCCCACGGTCTCCTTGTGTCCCTCACCTAGTCTTCGCAGGGCCCGTGTGTCTCTCCCTGGAATCACTTATTCCCCGCTAAGGGGCCGACAGCCTCCAGCCCCTTCATCTATGAAGATCGTATATGAGTTCTCAAACATCTCACCACTCTGTTCCAGGTATTCAGATTTAAACCCTGTGATGCCCTTGTGCATATATCAAAATTAATACATGTGTATACCTTTCCCCTGTCCATCCACGTGTTGCCAGTTTATTTCATAGACTCAGTTATAGAACCCAGGTGGGGAGGGGGACGTCTTTCCACCCCTACAGCAGCCCATGGGAACCTGAGTTTCCTGCTCCCTCCCCCCAGGACTGACTTCACAGCCCTGCTCCCTCCCCGCCCCTCACCGGCCTCTGGTCCTCCACCTGCCCCAGGTGAGGAGCAGGCTGACGGACGAACGTGTTTCCCACACCAAGATCTCCTGTGTGCGCCTCTGTTCCCAGAGCCTCCTCCTCCTCCCGGCCTCAGATGGCACATGAGATAGAGCCAACCGCCTCAGCCCGTGATTCAACGCCGCCCGTCATCCCGAGTCTATATGAATCCCCAGTCCCCGCAGAACTGGTTTATTCACTGCTTCCTGCCCACATCAGACACATTCCTTTCTCCCAAATAGATGATTACTAAGAAGCAGAGAGACTGATAGGCGCTGATACTACACAACCTTATTTTTTTCCAAGAATCAGAAGAGAACTTGAACAGGTCAGCCTTGACACATGAGCAACGCTAGGCCTCCTGTTAAGTTTTCACAGAGAGAAAGTGTAAAACAGGGGAGCTTCTCAGCGACAACATGGGCTGCTTCCTTTACGAAAGCACAGAAAAATCTACATGATAAGGGAAATAAAAGTGAATGCTTACTGAACCCTAGCCATGTGCCAGCACACAGATAACCTTGTTAAATCCTAACAACCCTGTAAAGTCACGTGTCAGCCCCATTTCACCAGCGAGAATGTGGGCTCAGGCAGGTCGAGTCATTTGCTCGAGTCTGGTTGTAGCAGCATTGAAGTGGAGAGAATTCTCCATTTCTCTACTGCTCCTACTCACTGACTGCAGAATTCTACCAAGCTCCGGGAGAAATTGGCTTTGTGGGAACAAGTATATTTGTGATGCGTGTGTGTGTGTTTGTATGATAAACCTTCTCTAAAAGGCCCACTGTAGATTCCAAATGATGGAGAGTGTGTGCCTTCAGTGTATCTGGATATAGAAATAAGCTACATAAATGTATTCGAATCTCCCCTAAGTAATTAGCTCTTCGGAGATATTTTTTAAAGCGACATAAATAATGAGGGTTGACCCTGACACTCATTATTAATTACCACCCTTTCCTAGATCAGACAACTTTTTTAATGAAACAAAAAACACCCCTTTCTATGACTTAAGACAAGGAATGGATCACCCATCATAAAGGATTGTAGACCTAATGTGAGCCACTAGACGCTCACCATAAGCTTAGCAAAAAAGTTTTCCCAGAGCAGAATCTGTCTGGATGCCCACCGACAAAACATTCTGATGTGTTTACAATATAATGGGTGGCTTTAAAGCCCACACGCTTGGAAAACACACCGAGGTACGGCTTCTAAAGAAGCACAGCGCAGTCAGTGGGAATGCCACGCTTCCATTCCTAAACCAGCCGCTGCCACCTAGCGCTAGGGAGTCTGACGTCGCCTGTGTCCCCTCTCATGAGACAATCTAGCAGGCTCTTAGCTGATGTCCCACTTCGGGAAGTTTCCCACCAGCATGTCACCTGTGCCCCTAAGCCATGGCAGAGCGGGCGGACAGAGGTCACCATGGAGGACTCTGAGTACACCCACTAGGCCACATTCTCATTCAAAGAATGGCTTTCAGGAGAACCATTCTGTAGACACCCGGGGCAGCCTTCCTCAAGAAAAGCGAGGAGATCAAATACCCCGGGTGTGAGGTTTGGAACTTACTGGAGTTTTAAGATCCAAGGGTCAAGAAAGTAACAAGCTTTTCAAAAACAAATCTCTGTGTCGGGGAAGGTGAAGGAGGGAAAGGCAAGGTGAGGATACGTTCCTCAATATTACATTCGCTAGAGATTCAGCGATTTCTATAATTAGCAGGTTTGACCATCATCATTAAGGAGGGGAGACTTGTGAAATGAATAAACAAAGGATTCCCAATCAAACCAGGTTAGATTCCCAGTCAGGGCACATACCTAGGCTGCAAGTTGGATGCCCAGTGGGGCGTCTGTGGGGGGCAACCGGTCGATGTTTCTCTCTCTCCCATTGATGTTTCCCTCTTACATCAATGCTTCTCTCTCAAATCAATAAACATATCCTCGGGTGAGGGTTTAAAAAAATAATAATACGTAGGATCTCCAACAATTTTAAAGAAAAAGGAAAGAAAGGAGGGTGCCTGTGAACAACCAAGACAACTGAGACCGCTGCAGCTAAATGAACTGAGACTTCTAACTAAGCTGGGTGCCACGGAGACACGGCCCAGCCCTCTACAGGCCTGAGCCAGCATCCGAAGGGCTCCTGGGATACAGCTTTCAGTTACATCTAAACAGTGGATAACAAAAACATTCAAAAGTCACCAGGTCGTTCGGAGCCCCCTGGGTGAAAGGTAGCATGATCAATCTAAAATACATACAATTAAAATAAGAATTCTACCTTTGAAGCCCACAAATCCTCATCTTCTTGTCTGGTACCACAGTTCAAATCCATGAAATAAATCCCTCCCAATTCAGGTGCTTTTAACTGGTCAAAGGCCGTTTTGTTTGTGAAGTTGTTGAACAAAGGACATATTCTTTCCTTTCTTTGCCAGATAATATTATCCAACAGGTCTGAGAACCAGTTACAGAAAGCAAATATTGTAACTAAAGGAGAGCGCAGGAGGGGGGGATGGAGCGGGGAGAGAGGGAGGAGGGGGAAGAAAGAAGAAAAAAAGAGAAAGGAAGAAAGGAAGAGAGCAAGCAAGCCATGGCACAGAGAGGAAATGGGGTAACAGGCCAGGGTGAAACAATGAGCTATGTGCAAACCTCTGTTGTAACCCCTCGTGACCATGGACACATGTGCTCAGAAAAAAGGACAGTTCTGCGTGCGTCTCCACATGTCTCCAGATCCTGTTTTAGCTGCAGGGGGGTAAACTTAGAGGAAACTCAGATATGTGGGTGTGTGTGAGACCCTCTCCCCCCGCAGGCTGCCTGGAAGTCTCAGTAAAACCAGCTGGATTCTGAACGCAGGGGCCCATTCCATCTCATTCCTCGAGACTAAGAATAGTTCTGGAGACAATGTTGAGTCATACAAACGTGGTCAGAACTTCCAGAATGATCTCATTACTCCCCCACTCGCTGTCTGCTGCTGCAGCTCTAACCCAAAGACTGTCCTGTGACTGAGGGGCTGGTGCCCAGGTACGACCGCCCTGGGCTTCTGAACGCCGTGCCTCTCCCCCCACCCACCAGCACCTCTCAGCTCTCACGGAACCTGCTACTTTTCAAGGAGCCGTGGGGCTCTCAGCCTCTGCAGCTCCTCTTGACCTTGGCAGAGGTCAGCCTTGGAAAGGAATAAAGGCACAGAAACAGTGATGCCAATCTGGCCAGCCACGCTGGTTACACACATGTTGGACATTCCCAGAAGTGAGAGGTGTTCCTGCTACGATTCTAAGGTCTGGACCTGATCACCTGGGTGCAGGTACACAATTTGTAAACGGGGATTCTTTTAAAGAGGGTGGGTTTAACTTCCAGCCTTTGCACACCTCTCCAGATGAGGGATTCAGAATAAAAGCAAAGGCCACATGTCCGGTTCCACGGCTACATTTCGAATGACTTACCTCGACTTCCACCTTTGTGAAAGGCTGGCAGAAGGTGAGCAGGCAAAGTTGAAGGCTGAAGAGGAAGAAGAAAAGGCCCCTTTTATAAGGTAATACGAGCATCATCTAATGTTACTTAGCAAACCTCTTCTCAACACACAGCACCCCAGGTCACACCAGGTACAGATTGTGGGTCTGTAAATGCCACACAGCAGTTCTATCACTTCTCAGGCTCAGACAACCATTTTTGACATTCCGAAGCTCAGTGACCCCATGCAATGCCATATATGTGTCTGTGAGTCAGAGCCACAGCTCAGCAGACGAATCACCAAACCCGAAGTCTCCTGGACAACGCAGACTCAGAGGCCAAAGCCCCTGAAGGGACCACCCAAAGCCGCACATTCTAAGGGACCTAAATGCGCAGGACAACGCCTGTGTGGAATATTACATTACTAAACTCTGTTCTGATATTCACAAAACCAAGGCAGTTGGTCTTGGCCTTTCTTAAAAGCAGAAATTTTATCACAATTGTCTCGGTTACTAATGAATGTTTTCCTTGTGGGGAAATTGTCTGAGGGGTTTTGAATTTCATTGTAAAGCTAGACTAGGGCTTTCATGAAGGTGGTTATAATCAACCCTCTCCAAGATAGTTTTTGAAATGGTTGTTCCAACCTGCAGCTTTCTGGTATATATTTAGACTCTCTGGGTTAGATTTCTATGGGGTATTAATTTAACCTCATTGGGACAGATGGCCCAGAAATCTGGCAGAGTGGATTAAACTACATGTTTAATGAAAACAACCAATCAAATTTTTTTATTAAAAAAATTTCTTTTTGCTATTAAGAAACTAAAATACGCCCTGACTGGTGTGGCTCAGTTACTTGGGCATCACCCCACAAGGCGAAGGGTCACTGGTTCAATTCCCGGTCAGGGCACAGGCCTGGGTTGTGGGTTTGGTTCCTGGTCCGGGCACATGTGAGAGGTGATTGATCAATGTTTCTCTCTCACATCGATGTTTCTCTCCCTTTCTTTCTGCCTCCCTTCCCCCCTCTCTAAAAATAAATAAGTAAAATCTTTAAAAAAAACCTAAAATATGATTTAACTGTAAAAAATTACCTGAAGGGACTTAAGTCAAAAATTTAAGAAAGTTAAACAAGGAATTTAATTAAAGAAGACATTTAGAAAATAGGTCTACCAGTTCCAAAATTAATTATACATTTTTAAATAAGAGCAGTTCTCAAACCTTCCATCAGCAAGGGAAAAAAAATCATTCACTATCCACTTCAAGCAAACAAAGTCAGTTCATATTATCTGCCATAAAGTACCTTATTCTTTAATTAAATTGAGTTTTGGAAGTTAGCGCTTTGGATAGATAACTCTGTTCTGAGCATCCTGCATGCTGTAAGAAAAAATAAACAAAACCACACCTAGGATCTCCTTACAACTGTGCTATTCACGCCACCTGCAAACCAAACATTACTTGACTGGCACGGAACACCTTCTCCACGGGAGGCCCCTCTCCAAGTTTGTTCCCCGAGGTCATCAGCCCTCTCCCTTGGCATATCTGCTTTGGGATAGAATTTCTCCCTTAGAATCTGAGCCCGCAGCAGCCCTGGGAGCACGGGCAGGTGACGAAACTGACTGGCAGTAACAGACTCGGGGCTAACTCTACCGTGAAGCGGATTAGGAGGCCGAGGAGGGCAGGCAGGTTCCCACAGGGGAGTGCAATGCGGCACTTGGACAAAGCCAAGTTGTGCCTTTGAAAGAATCTGTCTTGGTTTCTAAGTCCTAAGAAATCTTTTAACGTCAATCATGTTTGTCCTCTTTTTTTTCTTCTGAATTCTCTCTCCTATTATTTCCTGTCCCCCTTTATCACGTGGCTTCCAGGTTAGAAGGCCAGATGCACTCAAGTCCTCTATTTTCTAACCCTGGTCCCCCTTCCAGAAAGGCCTTCTCTGACTTGACCTTCGGATCTACCCCAGAGAAAAGTCACATTGGCTGAGCAGCGAGCCCAGTGTCACCATCTCCTTGAACTTGATTTGCAAAGGCCCCAAAGAGGGAGCTTAGAATGACACGGAGGCCTTAGGAAACATAAACAATGCCCACCCCCGATTTTTAGGCCCTTTTCCTAAAATGCTCTCACACTCATTGTTTCCCCTCATTTTCCCTCGTAGAAAAGCCGCAAACCAGTCATTCAAAACCAGCAGTGCCATGAAACACATCTTCTAGCCAAACGAATCAAAGAATAAACTGATTTCCTAAAGAGTTAACGCTAACATCATGCCCACATGGCCTTTACGATTTAGGTTCTTTATCATCAGGGTCGTTTACTCAACCTCAAGGACTGGAGCACAAGGGGACCATAAGCATCCCACAGGCTCATCCACAACAGCAGATGGAACGGGCTCGCCAGTTACCTGTTCCAACTTACATTTCTTATTGCAACGCGATTCACACACACAAAATGGACAAAGTATTTTTAAAAATCTGACTTTCAGAAGTTGTTTGGGCTGTCTAAATGTAAGGTTAGTCTAAAGGAGCCTACTGTATACTTTAAAGGCAAACGATTTCCTTTTAAATATTTCCAAGTGGTTGTCACTTGCCCGCCAGTAATGGTTCCTGAACTCTATATATAACACATCGGAAGGCAACTCCTGGGAAAGCCCCGGGGCAAAGTCCCCAGATTCACGAGTTCTGCGTGGTTCCCATGGAAATGCACACAGGCTGCTGGAGAGAAAGTGGGACTCTGCATGTCCTGTTCTATTTAAAGTCCTGTGTCACTTCGGCTTGCTTATTAGTGAGACTGGATTCCTCTCCTCTCTGAAGGGCTTTTAGAAACTGCTGAGGCCTATGTTTTTAACGTCCTAGACCAAAACCGAAAGCGTGGTTAGCTATTTTCTCAACTCCCATTTCAGGTCCTATGACTGAACTGCTCTGGCCTGCTTGAACCGGTATTTAGGAAAATAACAATGGGGACATTAGATAACACTAACTCTTCCACGAAAATGAAACTACAGAATTAAAGCTAGACAGGACGGGCACTGGGTCACTGGTTTGCTAGAATGTTTCTTAAAGTTGGTGGATTAAGAGTTAAGACCCATTAAAGCATGGCATGGGTAGGCTCCCGTACGGGAGACACAGGGACAGATGGGCAAGACAGGTGTGCTCTGTAAACAGACATAGCAGTTACGAGATCTAAGGATCGGACTAGAAATCTTTCACGGAACAAGTGTTTTTTTAAAAAACGTCTTCACTAGAATCAAATGTATATAAATAATAGATATGAGCGACTTACAATGTATACCCTTGCCAGGTCCAAGTCACGGTGTCCTAAAATAGCAAAAGGTTTTAAACGGTTAGCTCAGAGAATACCATAGGAAGCAAAACCCAGACTTTCCCATGGGCGTTCCTGTATTTTCTGAATGAAATGCAGTAGGCTGAAAAATAAAACAAGCTCGTTTGCATCCTTGGACTATATACCTCCATAGCAAAGATCTGTCTCCTTCCTGCAACTACCCTTTCATGGAGCTGCTCTGAATTTTTACAAACCGGTTGCGCATGCTTAGCTGTTTTTCTCTGAATATAAACATATCCGGATAATGAATTTGCTAACAAAACCCGAAATACATCAGTTTTCCAAAAGAGACAGAGTGATTTGGGAGAAAAGATTTAAGTAACTCGAAGTGAAGGAATTTGAGTAAATGATACATGCAAACCCACCGTCAGAAATAGAATGAGTAAAAGTCTGGTAGATTTTAATTTTAACTACAGGTCTCCAAGGTTGCGAAACCGACCAGTGAATAGAAAGTCGCCTTGATCAAGAATTCTTCATCCGAAATAACACAGGTCATTAATAACGACATCTTGCCTTTTCATAGAAATTCCCTCGTAAATAAAGTTTCTCTCAAAACCAAAACATCCTCCAAAAACCTGTGCTTGGCAGAAACGGTGACACAACCAATGTCTAGAGGACAGCTCCGTGCTTACCTGGAGCAGAGGGGACTATTTCCTGAGCCAACTGGGGACATCCCGGAGGATTTTTGGCTCTTTCCAAATATTGTCTTATTCAAGCTACTTGCCAAGGACTGAGCCGGTAATGAAACACCATGCCTGTCCCAAATTTGCCCTGCATCTTCAATCCTTGCCCACCAGCAATGACCAGGGAATCAGGAAACATGTCCTTCCAGACTTTAGAGCCTGCGAATCGCAGACTTCACCGTATCACAACAGAGCAGGGACGACAGAGCAGGGACAACAGAGCAGAAGCTAAGGGAAGCGTCCTTCTCTGGCTTGACGGCAAAGGCAGAGTGCAACACTGGCATTGACAAATACGGGCCCACCTTGCCAACGTTTGAAAACCAGATATGGCAAGGAGAAGGAGTCCCACCATTGGCTTCTGCCATTTATCTGCTCAGGCCTTTAGCCAAATAGTAAAATGGGTCCTGGGGGCTGGGGGCTGGGGGCTGAGGATTGTTTGGAGTGTTTGACTGTCTCCCAGTGTTTAGAAATTCGATGTTTGCTTACTTACCAGCTGGTTTGGGTATCTGAGGAGAACCGGCTGCACGGGGACTCCAGGGATAAAGGCTCCTGTAACCATGATAGACATTTCAGAGCACGTTCTCTGTGCAAGCGCAGGCTTTACAATAGAGAAAAACATGTAATAAAAAAAGACACACCTACGATAGATGCTTTAAGAATACACATTTAAAAAACTAGTTGCAAAATGCTGGTAACCCCCTTAGTGTTTACCAAAGTGAGAGATTTTGAAAATTCAGAATTAGGTAAGCTAAATGTGAAATGTTGTGCCCCAACTCAGTTAAAATAGTCATTCATTTACATCTCCATTTGTTTCTGTTTTCCAAATACCTATTATTCAATGGGATTTTTAAAAAGATAATGACAAAGAGAAAACAAGAAAATCTAGACGGAACCAAATGCTCAAGCAAGAACTACCAGTTACGGGAAGTGAGTTCTAACTTCGGCTTTGAGTGTTCTTAGCAGCCAGTACAGAAACAATTTAAAGGATAACCAACTGTGCTATAAAGTGACACAGTACTAGGAAATGCACGACTTGGCAATATTTAAAAAAGGAATTGAACCTTGGAAGGCATTGTCACCATAGTGGACACAGGTTTTCCACTCCATGGCAAAGCGTGCCTGTGACAGAAGGGTTGGAGAAAAAGAAACGCCCACCAGGGCTTCTGCTCAAACACACACACTCACTCACACCACCCCCAGGGGAGACGGGGCCATGACCCCAAAAGAAAAAGGAAGGAAGTCCACTCTGTGGCTTCACAACATTAAAACACTTTTTCTCGGAAGAGAAGAAATGCTCAGAGCAAACCAACAAGTTATTTTGTGCGTTACTATCAACTCATTCGAGAACTCTTCCACACTACATTGTCACAATATATAATTTAATTGATCTCACCTGGTTTAAAAGTAATCAAACAGGAGCGATTAGTACAAGTACCTTCTGGGAAAACTAGTATCTTGGGAGAAAAGGAATAGATTTAATATTTCAGTCTAATGAACAGATTAGCTCATTATTCATTTTCTTATCATTTACCCAACCAAGCTGAACTCCAAGGCTAACCCTCGATTCCAATGGAAGCTACAGTCAGATGAGGGGCTTTTGGTTTTCTGCTAAAAGAAGTGTAGCCTGACTATTAAGATAATTAGGAAATAGATGAAAGCTTTGACTAGAGTATACACTTAGCAAATGTTTCTTGATGTTACTTAGGATCTGCATAGCCTTAGAAGAAGATGTGGACCTAAGTCACGGTCAAGTGTACCTTGAGGCCACATGACATTCTTTCCTTAACAAAACCATTTGCTGCCTCCTTGGTTCGGACCTCCCATTAAATGACACTCACTCCCACCCGCATGCGTGGAGGGAAGGCAGCTTACACTATGTTGCATGCTCACTTGAATTAGTTGACGTAGGAAACACAGTTTAATATCTTTTTGAGGAAGTATTTCTAGCTCTTAACATACTTCCTTATGTCTTCCACGTGAAGACGGGCAGTTGTCAGTTTCCCCTTAGCTGAATAAAACAGCTCGATTCTCTGAAGTGTTTAGAATTCAGCCACGAATAAATTGCCAAGTACAATACAGAACACAACAGAAAATGCCTGCTCCTCCCCAGCAGTTGGTAATGTGTATTTTGTAGTAATTAGAGAGGGAAATGGCCTTAGGCTAAATTGCCACCATAGAAGGTTATTTGTAAAATTAAAACTATGAATAGGTGCTGTTCCAACCTCCAATTAAAAAAACAAACATCGGTTTCCTCTGACACTGGGATCCGATATCAAACATGAGTCATTCAGTGGTCGTTCTACAGCTACGCCGTTGACAACAAATCACAAAGTCTCAGAGCGGGAGTGGGCATTATCAAGTCATCCAGCATTTCTGAGACTGGGATTATCCCCTGCGAGGGGTGGCTCAGCCAGTGCTTAAGGATTCCAGGGCAGGATTCCCCATCGAAGGATTCGACCTCTGGACAGAAAGTTCCTTGAGCTGAGTGAGCACAGTGAGCTGAAATCTGCCTACGTGGTACCTTCCACCTACCAGGTCCTAGATACAGTTTTCCGGTCCAAACAAAAAAATGGAAGCTTTATGCCCAATGCCATTTCTTCCTAGTCACTTTTTAAACTGTTCCTCACATGCTTTCACTTCTATGGCCTCCTGGCTGGTCACACTCTCTGGGCACTTTACCACCTACACATCATGACAGACGGCCAGGTCACTGCAGGGCCCTTAGCTCTGCCAGCCATCACTGGCTTGCCCCTGGGCGAAGGCAGAGATATATGTCTCAGTACCACCCACGGGGCTTTATTCATCCGATCAACATTGTCCCTCCCTCACCTTCAAGAGGCATTTGTCCCAGGGGACAGGGGAGCTGGGATGGTCAAGTTTGAAATGGTCCCCCGGTGACTCTGCTAGGCCCTCGGGAACTGAAAAGCACTATTGCAATATACTTCAGATAAGGGTAAAGATCTTAATTACATGTTTAGTAAACCCGTCGTAGGGCTGAATACAACTGAGCAATAGCATCTCTTCTTTTTCAAGGTAAATACACTCGAGAGGCAGGGGATTACTTTTTAGAACCCAGAGTAAAAACTGGTTCAAAGAGTTTGGAGAATAAAAAAAGGATACTTTTTAGTCCCTGGAGCATCTCATGGGGAAGAGGACTTCTTAAGGTTCACTCACTTATTCCACTTCTATCTCACTAAAGATGCCTACAATGGACATCCCCAAGATACTGCCGTCTGTGGGTGCCAACGAGTGTGTTTACAAATGTACCATAAACAGACTCTCGATGCGTTTCCGTCCACATCCGTGGTGTTTTACCTGGGGCCACTCCCCTCCTGATGTGGCTCGCCTGATTATTTCATTTATTGTGTTTTTTCTCGAATCCGGGTCCACACGGGACACCAGCACCGGCTGCAGAGCCCGTAATAGTCCTTTAAAAAAAAAACAAACAAACCCACAGTCAAGTCTTTTTTTTCTTTTTGGCTAAAGCTACCAAAATAATAACACTGGCTCAATCATGAAACACATTTTGTGGACATTAAAAGGACTGCAAATAAAAAATAAATAACTTTAAAAATACCCTCTAATTCAATGTTTATTAGAACTTAGTTTCTGGTGTCAGAAAGAGTGGTGGATATTTATACCTGAAAAAACAGTTCACTGATTTAACGGAAATTAGCAGCAGGAATATGAAAAGAAGGAAATGCAGTTTACTCCCTAAAGGCCTTCCTCAACTGACATTCAGACTTTGCAACGTGCTACAAGGTCATCTGGTTTAATTTCAGGGACATCCTGAAAACTGATTATGTGACCTCATGGCACACAGGAGACAGAAGCTTTATTACTCATTTTAGTAGCATTTTCAGCTGAACAGCCTTCTAAATATATAACTTCCCAGCACATGCAAAATAAAACTCAGTTTATCAAAAATCCACTGCCACGCAATTTGTCAGGAAAGCGCCTTATTACATAAAGCAGGAGTCACATGCAGCAAGCGTCTTCCCTAGCTGAACGACAAAGCAGCGAAAGCCACTGTTATTTCCGCTGAGCACCAAGGCAACATCAGGCCACCTTTGCACTCTCTCCCTCTCTCACATCCTCTGGTGCTTGCACAGGCCTTCAAACAACAGGGGAAAGTTACTGGGCGACTAACGCCCCAGGGACCACCAGGCATCCAGGGGGAAAAGCACTTCACTTGCTTTGTTATTTTTTTATGGCAGGAAGCACTTCTTATTCCACATCCTAATTTTCAAAGAGTTACATGTTGGTCCCTGGTGGAGATCTGGGGGAAATGAAGAAACCAGTTGGAGACAAAACGTAGTGTGTGCGAATCAGCCTACTGCCTTGAAAGAGAAATTCATGACACAGCATGCACGGGTGTTTCTGCAGATTCTTTGCTTCAATTCTCTCTCCTTTCCCCCCCTAAAAAAAATCAAGTGTGCTTGGTATTTAAAAAACTGGTCTTTCATATGTACGAACAGAAAGAGATGATGGTCAGTGATAAAAATAAGATTTTAAAAGATCTATATGGGTACATATATAGGGAAGCCTAATCTTCTTTTCATTGAATCATTCTTTTGACATAGTACCTCCTTAAAAGAAAGCAAGGATGTTTGAAATCTTTCATCATTTTAAAGTTTCTTGAATGTGCACCAATAAACTAAACAAGATGATTTAGGGGTAAGGCGTGAGCATGAGACGTTTCATCTACATCACCGTACAAGTACTTACTGCCAATCAGAGGCACCTGCACGTTCTCACTCCGGGAAACCATGGACGGCAGCCCCGCTACGACACAGGCGACCCCATCGAAGAAGGTTGAATGGGGGGCCACCACAAAGATGGGGGCTTCCACGGGACTGGCGATCTTCCCTTTCACGGTCACTGTAAACCCCATCGAAAAGAACAGGGCACGACCCAGAAACTTCAAAACTGGCTGAGTGATTTGCCTTCGAAGACACAGACAGAAAAGACAGGGTTAGCTTTGCTCACAGCGGCCGACGCTGGGCTTTACTTGAAAACACCACGGGAAAACCAGAACATATCAGAACACTCCATTTGAAAATATATGCTGGGAAGAAGGGTTCACACTTCCACAGGGCACTCACTAGCTGCAAGGCACTATTCTAAGTACGCTGCATATATTAATTTCTTTAATTCTCAGCCCAATTTTATAAAATATGTATTATTTACTATCGCCCCCATTTTACAGGTGGGAAAACTGAGGCCCAGGGAAGTAATTTTACCAAGGACACATGGCTAATAAGTGGCTCCATTCTTCTGGGACCCTCAAGTGAAAAGAATGAATTTTCGATACACATCCCTCTAAGAAGATCCCATCAGTTCTGCCCTTCAAAGCAGCCACCTTGGGGACCTGCATTTGCATCACAAAGATGCTCCCCTCTCCCCAAACGCTTTTAGAATTCTCTGCTGAAACTGTTCTCAGAGTGATTTTAAGACCAATTTTTTACAAGTCAACGTTCTAAGACGCCATCAAAAATCTTAAAGAAAATCCACTCTCTCCCTTCTCTGGAACAGAGATGCACTTGTAACAATTCCAGAAATCGAATTGCTTCCTTTTCCAACAGCATCTGTCACTAAAGATTAATTCATTCATCACATGGTGCCAGGAACTGTGCTGGACACGCAAGACGAGTAAGGCCCAGTCTCTGTCCTCGAAGAGCTCAAATGAGTAGGGACACAGACACGTATTCCTGGAAATGCAAACTGAGGCCGCGCATCTCAGGATGCAAATGAGCGCATCTCAGGATGCACATGAGCATTTTTCATGAAACCCAAAAAGTACTATGCATATCCTGCACTCAGACAACAGATGAGAGCTTTAAAAAAATGGACTTCCTATCTAATTTTCTCAACCGTCTTGTGATATTATGGTGAGGAACTATTAAGCAACAAGCTGCTGAGGAAGTTAGTCTGGTTTTTATTTCACAGTGAGGAGAAGTGAGATGCAGGAAGAACACGTACCATTCAGGAGAGCACGGAGAAATGACTGTGTCTCTCCCTTCTTGCCCTTTCGTTTTGAGTTAAGCTCTCTATTTACGTAAGGATAAAAAGCTCACCCTTTCATGCTTTCTGATTTATAGAGATGTAGCTTCTGACAACTACTATCCGAAGTATCTCATGTTCAAAGCCGTGAAACACTTTTACTTCAAATGTTTTTTGTAAAAATGGCTAAAAGTCTAGGGCTGCATAGTAACTCCCATGTTACCTGTTTGAGAGGAGATAGAGAGCTACTGGCTTAATTAACAAAAGCAGAACTTTCTTTTCCAACACGTACTTGACCTGTTTTCTGGATATTTAGGCTATTCCTTCCATCATCACAAGTTCCCATAAGCTGTTAGCATAGCAACCAAGGAAATGATTGAGAGGGATCAGCGAGTGACGAAACATACAGTGTGTTTCAGTGACTAGCACCGCTGGTTCTGGAACAAAGGGGTGTGATCCGCAATGATGGACATGGGACTTACTGTCCCTGAGGCACTGCCAGCTGTGGCGCTGGTTCCAGTTTGAGCCACCTTGTGTTCACGTTGATGTCTGTCCACCGGAACATGAACTGAACAGCACATTGCACATTTCTTAAAAAGTTTCTACAGCGACGTTTCTCAGAATTTGTGAAGGACACATTCTCATTTGTGGTTTAGATGAAAGGAACAGACCTTTGCATGCCGAAAAGAAAAATGTGCACAACCCCCAAGAGTTTAACAGTGCTCTGAAACCCATCGGTGGATTTCTGTGACACCCAAGGAGGGCACGTGAGCAGCCTGCACTTTCAGGACATAGTAGGCATGACAAGTGGGTTGTGCCTGATGGCAATGAACTTCTACTGGTAACTGGAATTCATCATCCATCCATTCTCTAATTCCATGCCAATGACACAATGCTTGCAAAGCAGTTCAGGGGAACTCAGTGCTAATGTTCCATAAAGTGAGGCTCTACTGATCAATAGTGAAGTTGTTGTTAATAATAATAACTAAAGCAGTGAACAAATATACTGTAACTGATCCACTTAATTATATCAGTTAAAGTATGTAGTTATGAGAGAGGAACAAAAACTGAGAAAAGGGAAAAAAAGCCAGTTATTTTTCAACTTTAGTGGTTTAGCTATACTCACTGGGTCTTTGAGAACCCGGGACCTATCACTTTTTGGCAATAACTCAGAAAACAAAATATTTTAATATTAGGAAGTGGCAACTTCAACAGAAGACTATCTGTTCTTGGGCAATAGTTTGTACATATGATAAAGTAAGAACAGTGTCATTGGAGAAACAAAAATAATTACAATTGAGTAGGTAGCAGTTAGGTGACTCTACTGATGACTAAACTATGATCAATTCTTCTTTATCTTGATTTACCTAGTATTCAGACATAACTATTTCTTACCTCTTCCAACCAGTGATGGGATGGGTCGGCTTTTCAGGACGGCCCAGTGTTGAAAGTGCAGCAAACGGCCACGCCAGTAATAAAACAAATGCAAGGAATAAGCCACGAATGGGGAGCAGGAAAATTCCAAGGAAGAAAATCTGAAAGTCCAAGTTGGTAAGAATAAGTGGCTGGATCATTATAAAATGTCACTAGCAATGTATAAGAATTTCAGCCATGGCCAACATCTGGTGTTGATAGTCTTTTTAAGATATCAATTTGATTAAGAATCATTTACATAAAAGAAAATGCACCTATTTTAAGTGTAGGGATTATGAGTCTTTCAAATGCTACACAAACACTATGATGGTCAACCTATAGAACATCCCCATCACCCCCAAAAGGCCTCCCATGACTCTTGGCAGCCCAGACGCCCTCCCCCCGCCCTTGGCCACCACTGAGCCAGACATTCTTCCTCCATCCTTTTGCCTGTTCTAGATCATCCTATAAATGAAACCACACAAGATGCACTTTCATGTCTGACTTCTTTCACTTCATATTCTTGAGATTCAACTGCGCTCTCCTGTGCATTAGTAGTGTAGTCTTTTTCATTGTAGCGTATGATTCCATTACACAATAAAAATACACGAGCATTATAATTCAGTTACCCATTCTTCTGTTCACAGGCAGGTGACCTATTATACGTTTTTGGCTATTATGACTATAGCTCCCAAGAACATTAATGTTCAAGTCTCTGTGTAAACACGTGTTTTCATTTCCTCGGGAGTGAAATTGCTGGGTTAGGGTATGTTTAACGTTGTAAGATACTGCCCAGCTGATCTCCAAAGTGGTCGTTGTACCATTTTATATCTCCACGGTAAGTATGGAGATGAAGTGTGAAAGCGCCTGTCGCTGTACACGGGTGAGAATACCCGTGTTTGGTGTGGTCAGCTTTTGCAGCCATTCAAGCAGGTGAAAAATGCTATCTCCTTGAGGTTTTAACTCAAACGCTTCCTTCATGCACAATGAAGCTGAGCACATTCTTCAGGTGTTTCTTGGTTATTCCTTTGACTTCTTATTTTAAGTGTCTTTTCAAACTTGTGGCCATTTCACTGGGTTGTTAGTCTTATTATACCAACTTGTAGGACTTCTTTATCTGTTATATATAAAAGGCCTTTGCCCTCCTGGCTGGTGTAGCTCAGTGGATTGAGCATGGGCCTGCAAATCAAAGGATCACGGTTCGATTCCCAATCAGGGCACATGCCTGGGTTGCTGGCCAGTTCCCAGCGGGGGACCCACAAGAGGCAACCATACATTGATATTTCTCTCCTTCTCTACTCTCTAAAGATAAATAAATTCCTTAAAAAAATGAAAGTAGATAAAAGGCCTTTGTCAACATATGTATTGAAAATATTTTCTCCCATTCCACGCCTTACCTTTTCCATTTCTTTTTTAATATACTTTATTGACTATGCTATTACAGTTGTCCCATTTCTCCCCCTTTATTCTCCTCCACCCTGCACACCCCCTCCCATCCACATTGCCCTTTAGTTCATGTCCATGGGTCATACACATAAATTCTTTGACTTCTCCATTTCCCATACTATTCTTAACCTCCCCTGTCTATTTTCTACCTACTATTTATGCTACTTATTCTCTGTACCTTTCCCCTCTCTCTCCCCTCCCCCACCCCACTGAAAAGCCTCCAAGTGATCTCCATTTCTGTGTTTCTGTTCCTGTTCTAGTTGTTTGCTTAGTTTGTTTTTGTTTTTGTTTTAGGTTCAGTTGTTAATAGCTGTGAGTTTGTTGTCATTTTACTGTTCATATTTTTTATCTTCTTTTTCTTAGATAAGACCCTTTAACATTTCATATAAGGGCTGGGTGATGGGTGATGATGAACTCCTTTAACTTGACCTTATCTGGGAAGCACTTTATCTGCCCTTCCATTCTAAATGAAAGCTTTGCTGAATAGAGTCGTCTTGCATGTAGGTCCTTGCTTTTAATGTCTTTGAATACTTCTTTCCAGTCCCTTCTTGCCTGCAAGGTTTCTTTTGAGAAATTAGCTGACAGTCTTAGGGGCACTCCTTTGTAGGTAACTGTCTCCTTTTCTCTTGCTGCTTTTAAGATTCTCTCCTTATCTCTAATCTTGGGTAGTGTAATTATGATGTACCTTGGTATGTTCCTCCTTGGGTCCAACTTCTTTGGGACTCTCTAAGCTTCCTGGACTTCCTGAAAGTCTATTTCCTTTGCCAGTTTGAGGAAATTCTCTTTCATTATGTTTTCAAATAAGTTTTCAATTTCTTGCTCTTCCTCTTTTCCTTCTGGCACCCCTATGATTCGGGTGTGGGAATGTTTAAAGGTGTCCTGGAGGTTCCTAAGCCTCTCCTTATTTTTTAAAATTCTTGTTTCTTCATTCTGTTGTGGTTGAATGTTTCTTTCTTCCTTCTGTTTAAAACCCTTGATCTGAGTCCTGGTTTCCTTCCTGTCACTGTTGGTTCCCTGTAGATTTTTTTTTAATTCACATAATGTGACCTTCATTGCTGCCTGGGTCTTTTTTATACTGTCGAAGTAACCAGTGAGTTCCTGGAGCATCTTGAAAACCAATGTTTTGAACTGTGCACCTGATAGGCTGGCTATCTCTTCATCACTTAGTTGTATTTTTTTCTGGAGCTTTGAACTGTTCTTTCATTTGGGTCATTTTTTCTTTTTTGTCTCGGTGCACCTGTTACGTACCAGGGGCAGAGCCTTAGGTGTTCACCAGGGCGGGGCACAACCCACATCACAGCGTTGTGACGCTGTTATGTGGGGGATGGCCGGAGAGGGGTCAATGAGGCTTGCTCTGCTCTTTCGGATTTCAGTCACTTCCCCTACTACCCACAAGCAAAGTGGGCCCTTCTGGTACTGATTCCCGGGTGCATGGGTTGGTGTACGTTCTAGGACCCTGTGAGTCTCTCCAATGAACTCTCCTATGAGGCTGGGAGTTTCTCCTGCTGCCGCCGCAACCCCCACAGGTGTTTTCAGTCAGAGGTTTGAGGCTTTGTTTCCGGGGCTGGAGCCCTGGGTTGTGGGTTTGTCTTGCTCCCCAGTTGTTCCTCCTGGTTTATCTGCATGTGAATGTAGGACCACCCGGACTGCAAGCTACTGCCTCACCGGGTGCGCCAGCCACCACCTTGCCACAAGTCCTGTCCACCCAGCTGCCTATCTCCACCCCTCCTACCAGTCCAGGTAAGTGTTTCTACTTTACTTCCTTGATTGTTGGACTTCCATACAATTCGAGTTTCTGTCAGGCCTGGTTGTTTTTGGTTTTAAAATTCGTTGTTGTCCTGCTTTTGGTTGTGCAAGGAAGCACAGTGTGTCTATATACACCTCTATCTTGGCCGGAAGTCTCAATTTCTTAATGGTAGCTTTTGATGAGAAAAATTGTAATTCTGCTGAAAACGAATTTATTTTATTTTTATTCTTTTCTGTGTCCTTTCTAAGAAATCTTTAGACTTCAAGGTCATGAGGTATTTTCTATTTTCTAGAAGCTGTGTGGTTTTAGCTTTTATGTTTATGTCCATCTAAAATTATTTTTCTGCATGTGGTGTGCAGCAGGAATCAAGGTTCATTTTTATCCATAGATTTACCTAGTGTTCCAACACCATTTGTTGAAAAGACTTCGCATTCCCCAGTGAATTTTCTTGGCAAGTTTGTCAAAAAGCAATTGAACATGTATGTGTGGGTTTTCTATTCTGTTCCATTGATCCATCTATTCATCTATCCTGGTCAATTTCCCACTCTCTTCATTGCTGTAGCTTTGTGGTAACTAAGTCTTAATCAGGGGTCTCCAACTTTTTCTTCTTCAAACTGTTTTTGGGCCAGTCTAGATCCTTTGCATTTCCACATACATTTCAGAATTAATTTGTCAGTTTCCACACAAACAAAAAAGCTTGTTGAAATTTTTATTGGGGTAGATAGTGCCCTTCATTAGAGTGAGAGAGGTCCCTTTTATTCCTATTTTACTGAGAATTTTCTCAAACATCAGTAGTAGTTGGTAAACTTTGTCAAGCGAGTTAACAAAATTTCTGCTTCTATCGAAATGATCTTATGGTTTTTTTCCCCATATGTTCCGCCAGTATGATGAATTGCATTGAAATATACATTTTTGGAGGTTAAACCAATCTTGCATTCCTGGAATAAACCAAAGTTAGAAGGATGTATTTCCTTTTCCATATATTGCTGTATTTCACCTGCTGATATTTTGTTGAGAATTCTTACATCTATGATCATGAAGGAAATTGATCTATTATTTTCCCTTCTTAAAACATCGTTTTCAGACTTTGAAACAACATCGGCTGCATATTTTTGTCTATTGTGTCTTCATTTTCATTTATCTCAAAGTATTTACTAGCTCCTCCTATGAGTTCTCCTTTGAGCCATTGATTATTTAGAAACATGTAATGTAATCTCCACACATTTGTGAATTTCTCAAGTTTTCTTGTTATAGATTTCTAATTTCTAATTTCAATCCATTGTGGTTACAGAACAATGTCTTATTATAATCCTCTTATACTTCCTCAGACTTGTCTTATAAGCTATTATAATTGTCTATCTTGGAAAATGTTCCATAGGTACTTGAGGAGAATGTGTTTTCTGCTGTTGTTGGGTGGAGTGTTATATATATATATATATAAACCTCTCAACCTTTTTGGGTCTTTGAATTGAAAGTGTCTTTTTAGACAGCATATAGTTACAAGCTTTTTCTTGTAAGCTTTTTGGTTAGCTTGGTGTTTGCTCCAATCGTTATTCACTGCCCCAGGCTGCTGTGCTGTTAAGCAATGGGATAATTTCTGACAAACACCCCCAGAGAAAAGATTGCAGTGGGTCGGCTCCAAAGCAGGTAAAATACAGACAGTCTGGCAAGTAATGACCAAGAAATAATCTTGAATGTAAGAAATAACCATGGCATAGACCCCAAAAGTACAGTTGAGATGAGGTTATAGCATATTCATATAATACTTACTAACTTTCAAAATGAGTAGCTAACATGGATTTTAACTGAGCAAGGTGTCAAATGCTGGGCAACTTTATTTTTTTTTTTCTGTGCCACTTCCAGCTTGGCAACAAGTAATTGTACTTAATAGTAAACCATTTTTTAGTAACTCTGACAAATTGGGAGGCTTCTCCATCACATTCCCGGTTGGTAGTGTGTCATCTCTGTAGGGAGACATTCTTTGAACACTCACTCTATCAGGGTTATCCTCTTCTCTGGATTGTCTTCGTTGCACTCATTAGAACACGAAATTACATGTTTTTGTACTTGTGGTTTTTTCTCAGTGAAATGTAAGCTTTAGAGAGGCAGCATCCTTATTTCTCCTGTTCACTGCTGTATCTCCAGAGACTTGCATCGTGCCTCGCACGCTGTAGGCATTCAATGAATATTTTTGTACAGTCAGTGACCCCACCGTTACTACTAAACACTTATTTTCGCTCTATAGTCTACTGAGGAAATGGGAGCTGGGCTACTTTTCTCCATGGCACTAAGTAACAGGCCCTTAAATAGCCAAAAAGAGGAAGGAGAAAGCTCAGCCCTGTTATGAGATGCAAAAGTGATAACAGTCTTTAAGCAAGACATTGATCATCATTCAAGATTAAATTTGAATTCAAGTTAAATTGAGTCTGAATCAATCTTAGTAAGTCATGCTTAAAGTATATGCATCTTTTAAATGGAAAAATACAGCCCACATGGTTTTCGAATTATGTCTATTTAATCTTCCCTACACCTAGACTAAACTTATTTAGTGTCTCTGGTTTACATGAATTTTTAATTTTTAAAAAATACCCAGACTATATTCAATTCCATTCAATACACATAGTAAATTCTGAGTACTATGTTAAAAATATAGACAACAAAGAGCATAAGAAAACTATCAATCTTAAGATCAGCAATCAGGCCCTGGCTGGTGTGGCTCAGTGCATTGGACATGGTCCCGCAAACTGAAAGATCATGGGTACAGTTTCCAGTCAGAGCACACGCCAGGTGGCAGGTTTGGTTCTGGTCTAGACGCACGTGAGAGGGAACGGACGCATGCTTCTCTCTCATGTCCATGTTTCTCTCCCTCCCTTCCCCTCTCTCTAAAATAAATTTTAAGAAAAGAAAAAATAATTTTAAAAAAGACCAGTCAACAATGCCAGATTCTTTCACACATTACCTCACTTAATTTTAACCCTCCTTTGATGTATCGCTTTTCTGATTTAATAGATGAGAAAAGTGGCGTTTGGAGCCATTAAGTGACACAGTCACACAATGAACAGACGGCAGGGCCTGAGATGCTTTCTGATGGAAACCGGCCATCTTTTTATTGTGACATTAGCTCTTCTAGAGTCACTTCGAAGAGCGCCCTAAATGTAACAGGCCATGCTATTCAAAGAAAAAGTTAATAATTTCCTCTAGGTACAATATAAATTCTTTGATCCTCTTTCAAAAATATGAGGCCAAATATATGGACATACTTTCCTTTAAGTATGAGTGATTTGGCTAAAATTAATCTTGAATGATACAGTCAGTGTACTCAGAAGTGCTTCTAAAATTTTAAGATACCAAGGGGACATCAATCTATTTACAGACTTGAAGACCTAAGCTTTACACATTTCGTTTCTTTGCAAAGAGCTATTACTACATTATCTTCCTCTTCCTCTCTCACACCCTTTTTCCAGCAGACACCCATCTATCATTACCGTCACCACCACCCACGCTGCACAGACCAGCACGCGACCTGTGCCCACTGCAGAGGACCACGGCCTCAGTGCACACATGTAGGTTCTGCAAAAATGACACTATTTCAAATCCAAAGTAAAGAAACTTGTGCTATGGACAAGAAACCATCAGCAACCACTTTTTTTCCCCTACAGACCACACCGGACATGGTCTATCTCGTTCTTTGATCGCTAACTTCTCCAAAGAGGAAGTCCAAAGAATGAGAGGGACTGCTAATGGTAAAAGCAGTGCTTAACAAGAAAAAGGAAAGGAAACTTCCTTTTCGTTAAGCAGCCATTGAACAGTGGGAGAGCTGGGGCTACCTCTAGTTCTTGAATCTACAATCGTTTGGTTGAAGACTGATTCAGGACCAAAAACCTCTTAAAATACCTTAAGCTCAACCCCATTGTCCCTTTTCCTAGATTCTGAGGTCACACCCTTGATGCCCCTGCCCAGCTAGATCATCCCAGGGCCTCACTCATTGTTCTAACTCCAGACCTGGGGTGGGGGTGGGAGTGGCAGGGGTGGGGGGCAGGGAGAAGAAAAAGGGACTTACACCCTCTCTCCTGTCATAGGCTGGCCCCCTGCTACATTCTCACGAACTCAAATTTTCATTTCCCCTTCTCAGCATGCAATGAATGTTTCCTCTCAGACCCACATGCTCCTGCACCTTCTCTTCTCACACACCCCCTCAGACCACCCTCCCCGGGCCCTCTGTCCTCGGACCCACGTCGTTGCCCCTTGCAGACTCATGGCCCCTGCACAAGCCCTCCTCTCTCAGATCTACATCTTTTTCTTTCTTCCTTTGCTTCCCAGACTCGCGCCCCGCCCCCCCCAGGTGCTTCCCATGTCACACCTAGGGCACCCTCAGACCGTCTCACCTCCCCTCCCGACCTGCCTCCTCCCTCTGCCCACACCCCTCACTTGGGCGCACCTCTTTTCTCTGACCCACGCCCATCACCTGGATCTTCCCTCTCTGACGCACGCCCCTCGCCTGGATGCACCTCCTTTCTCTGACCCTCATTTGGATGCACCTCCTTTCTCTGACCCACGCCCCTCGCCTGGATCTTTCTCCGCTTTCTGACCCATACCCCTCACCTGGATGCGCCTCGCTGCGCTCAACCGTGTCTGCTGCACGAAGGGGTTGGGCACCGGTGGCGGGAAGAAGGACGTTTGGCGGGGCACCATCGGTGGCCGCGGTCCCGCAATCCTGACGCCCGCGCCCGGCACCGTGGCCGCCACGGCCGCCGCCTCGGCGCACCGGTTCATGGCGGAGCCAGGCCTTGGACCCGACAGAAGTGGCTCACGAGGACACTGGGGCTAGTCGAAGTCAAGGTTAAGTCCCAGCCACACAGGAGTGCGAGCGGCTGAGCCTCTGCGCAGGCGCTTAGGTGACTAGACGACCTCTGGTCTCGCCCCGCCCCTCTGGTTCTGATCGCCCCACCCCTCTGGTTCTGAGCACGCCCAGGCACTGGCCCCACCTCCTGAGCGTTAGCCCCACCCTCTTAGGTATCTGGCTGTTCCCTTGGGTGATAGCGCTCTGCCCCCTTGGAAATGCATGCTTCTCCTTAAGACCAACGCACGCCCGTGACTGTTTAGGCAAAGTTCTCTGCTTCAGGGTCAGGCAGACCTGAACTTCCAATCGGTTTTACTGACTCTGTGATATTGTCCAAATCACCATCTCCATGACCCTGCTGCCTCCTCTGTAAAAGGAAAAGCAACAGAACTTAGATGGACAGAACCTGAATCCATTTATGGGAGGGGAAACCCCGGGATTGTATCGTTAGGTGAGTTAATATAACCGAGCTGCTATATTATTTCTGGTGTACATTATTTCTGTACTTTATGTCTGGTGTACATTTTACTTTTGTTTAAATAAACCTGTCTGGGTTGGATGTTTATCAGAACTGAGTCCTGGCTGAGAGAACTTGATACAGGGAGTGGAATCTGGTCCACTGAAAACATGACTGACATGGGGAATGAGCTTCTGTTACTAGAAGGTAAAGACAACTATTGCCTTCCACACTAGGTGAAACCTGGTCCCTCAAAGGGAAATGACTTAGCCTGTGGCCCGATTCCACCCTGAGAAAGGAAGTTCAAGGCCCTGCCTAAACCTAAATGAGTGGTCATGGGGAGGGAGAGAAGGGCTTGCCCAGAACGTGAGACCCACTGGTCAAGCTCTGGGTGGCTGAGAGTCAGAGGGAGGTGGTGAATCACTTCTCCTCTCTGATCGATGGCTCACAGCAGACTGCAGAGGTGATGAGAACCTGAATCCGGATTTGGGCATAGCTGCTTCTGCAAACTTACCCACCAGAGACCTCAGAATCTGCCCTACCAGATTAGGCATGTGGTCTTCAGCTACTCACTTAACCTCTCTGAGCCTGTATTTTCATCTAGGAACAGTGAGAGATAAATTTCCACCCCATAGAGTTGTAGTAACAATTAAAGAATGCATTGTGTTGTGTTCAAGAAATTGCACATTTCTGGCATTGTTGTGATGAACCTTCTGTGGAACGAAGAACCTTAATAACAATGTATTACAGCCACAATATAAGCTTCCCCGGGCTCAGGGGTCTTCATGTAGGGGCTGGCAGATCCTTGTGGCTCTCTAGCCTGACACCTGCACAGAAGGCTGTCCCTCCAGGCCCCTCAAGCATCTGAGCCATTGGGGGGGCACAGCAGGAGAGAAGATGACTCCACACCCACCAATGTCACCTCCAGAGTCCTGTTCATTCCTCGTCCCCTTTCCCACCAGCCCCACGAGAGGTCTAAAGCAATAGACTATCAGTGCCAGAAGGGGCATCTGAAACACTCAGACCTTAAATTACCCTTTTGGATCAGCTCAAGAATTTCTACAGAGGAAGAGATTAGGGCAGGCGCTCTGGGGAGAGGGAGGAGTAAGAAGCTTACCTGTTAAGAAAAGCTGTGCTTGGAAAGCAAGCCTACATCCCCTGTGCCCCGCCCCCCCATTCCCCGCCCCCCCACCCCAGCTATGCTTTTACTTAGGGTGACTTTTAGGGAAGGGGGAAGGTAATGCTGCTGCTGAAGATTCTGGGCTGAGCACTAAAGCTCCTCCTCTAACTCATCTTTGGCCTTGACATGGGTCGTTACTGAATAACTATGGTGCCCTGGGCAAACCACTTTTCTCTGGGCCTGTTTCCTCAATAAAAATCGGGCTGATTTTAGCCACCCCCTCTTTCGGTTGTTGTAAAGGTTCAGCGAGACAAAGCATGTAGAGGGCCTGTACATCCCTCTGCTCATGGCAGGGGATGCGGTTCATCAGCGCTAGAACTGGGATTATTGTTAATGAAGAAACTGAGACTCCAACAGGAGGGGGACCTCGCACAGGACCCTGGAATTACAGTCACAGAATCACACACTGCTGCTCGAGGCCTCTGTCCATGGGACAGAGGGACTTCAGCTCACACTGCACACTCTTTCAGGATCTCTCAAATGTCCCCTGTGCCCTTCCAGGAGCAGAGGGTTAGACTTTGTAGGTTTCCTCTTCTAGGCTCTGAAACCAGAAGCAAACGCTGCCACTCGATTGGTGTCTTTATTCATACCTGTTGACCTTTCCCATGGGGAATGGTTGAAGGGCAGGGAGGGGAGGGCTGAGCGAGAAGCCATGGGCTGGTGTTCCTCCATCCAGTGGAGGAAGTGACGGGCTAGGCTTGAACTAAATGGAGTGAACAGGGGAACCACAGTGAGGTGGGCTGAGATGCTTCGTGCAGTGACTTCAGACGGCCTGAGTCCTTCTGTCAGGAGATGCAGTTTGAAAGTGGAAAAAAAAAAAGATCGAAAGAAAAGAACCAAGTGCGTACAGAGCAAACCGCTGATGTAGGGAAGGTCCTGAGGCAGCCAGCAGTGTGGGAAGCTGGGTGTCCAGGTGGCCTCCTGGCCATGCCTCTCCCCCACTGCCCCAGGCCAGGCCAGGCCAGGCTGTTGGGCCACCAGTGCCCTCTTGAGACAGTCTCTGTTGGCTCCGAGGGTGCTGTGAGGCAGTTGTGGAGGGAGAAGAGCCTGGACTATGGCAGCACCAGGGCAGCCCGGGGCGGGGCCGCATTGAGGATATCAAAGCATCTCTTTGGAGTGGCTCTGGAGGGCTGGTGGGATCCGGAGGAGCAAGGGGCACCTGGGAGGAGTACAGTCAGCACCTTTTCTTGGGCACAGGGCACAGCCACTCTCTGGAATCTTAAATCACCAGGCAGCAGGAGAATGCAGATTAACCGCAGAGCTGAAGGTTGCCAGGCCCTCCTGGGTCCTTCCCCGGCACTCAGGACCCAGCGTGCACACAGGGGTGGAGACGCAGGGCCTGCGGGAGTGGCGGGCAGTTCAGCAACCCAGCCAGTCGGATTTGATGCTTCCGAACTTCACGTTCTTCAGACTTTGGTTCTCCAACTTCAAGTAATACATGCCCTTGAAGAAGTAGCTGTGGCCTGGGATTAGGAAAGGAGAGAGGCTGTGAGTACCCTAGGACATTCTGGTACGTGGAAGGCTCCTGGTGCTTTGGAAGCTTGTGGCCACAGGGAAAAAGCTTTTAAACCTGAGAGGACCCCTATGGGGCTGGAGAAAGGGCTGTGGCTGTGGAAGTAAGGTCTCTGAGCCCCTGTCTTCTTCATCCTGAAGATGGGGATAAAGACACCAGCCTCTCAGGGCTTGTGGTGAGGATGAAATTAGACAAGATGCGATTGTTAATATAGTAACAGTCCTCTGCTGAGCACCACCCCCAAACTGAGCGCTTTCCCTGTATCAGAGGCAATGGACCAGGAGGCTGCTCATCCTCTTGGCCCACAGATGGGGGTTTTGTGGCTCATACATGTTTTTATGTTCTGTTTTATTTTGAATTGTGAATAGGTATGGCCATACCACCCTGAATGTGCCCAATCTCATCTGAGTAAGTTGCCACGATGTAAACATCTGGAAATTTCACAAGAAAATACAGAATTGTTTTTCTTCCTTTTAAAAGAGACTATTCAGCAACACTGGACCCCACTCATGCAGGGCTGTAATCCTCAGAAGCAGAAAAGCAACCGTCCCCGGTATATAAGCCACATGCTCTCTGGTTTGCCACAGACCCCACCACTCCCCACTGTGTGCCTTGCGTACATCACTCATTTGTGCTACTGGCCCGTCCCCTCTGGGCTTTGGAACTTGGGACTCCTGACATACATAATCTCATTTACTTCCTTTAAAACCCTGGCACGTAGTAGGTGCTCACTAGTTTCTTATTCCTGAAGATAATCCTTCACCTACCACCTGACAGCACACTGCATTTTGTTGGACACGTAAGACCATGAGCCACTCACTGGAGGTCAGGGCAATGTGCATAGCCAGCATATGACAGGGGCTCAAAAAAAAAATCTTTGTGGAATTAAATTAAAATTGCCTCTAAAAAGCCAAACTGGACCTTTTCCAGGGCCTGGAGAGCTCACAGAAGTCTCTGGAGGAATATGGTTTTCAAACTCCAAATCCTACCCTTTGATGATACTGCTTGTATAATTCAGCAAGGGACCAGGGGCGAAGCGAGTTGAATGGGGATCTTTGCCACATCAGCAAGAGGGCATGCCAAAGTTTGTCCTGTCTCAAGTGGAGCCATCCCTCTGCTAAGGGGAGGCAGTGACAAGGTGTCCTGTGGAACCCGAAAGGGCCTGGATCAAGCCCCAGAATGAATCCAGGGCACAGAGCCCATGTTCCTGCTCCCCACCCCACGGGCCTCCGCCCGCCCCTTCCCTGGCTCCAGGCCCTGCAGCTGCGAGGGGCCTTTCTGGGTCTCACTGCCTGGAGCATGCTGAGCGAGCAGAGGTCAGGGGTCTGGATGCCTTCCCAGCGCTGGGCTGAAGGGGCTGGTTTGTTTCCCCAGGCGCCGCAAGCCTCCCTGCACAATGAGGGAGTGTGTGCTTGTAAGGACCGGGGTCCTGGGTGGGGGCGGGGAGTCCTAGAAAGTGGCCAGAGGCCCGGGCAGCTCACCATCACCCTGCAGGTCCACCACGGCATCCAGATTATCGGGGACAGCGTTCCAGGCGTCCTCGATGAGCTTGGGGAAGCCGGGATCCATTTTCTTCTTCACCTCATTGTATCTGCAAGGAAGCGGAGGTGGTGAACCAGTGGGGCCTCCCTAAAGAAAGGCCACCCCCCCCCGGGGGGGTCTGGATGGCAGGGCCCCGCTGAGGGCTCCCGGGTGGGCCTGGGAAACTGGACCTAGCCCTGCAGGGAAGCTGCCTGCTGGAAAGAAAGGACACGTTGTCAGGTCTGGGTCTGAACCCCAACTCCACCACCCACTAATTACGTGCTCTGTAGAGTCCCGTAAAGACAAGCTTGTGATTACCGTTAGCCCCGAAGGGGCGTAGTCAACACTTTTCATTTACTTTCTCAGCCACCCCACACGACAACCCTGTTG